GGGGGGGGGGGGGGGGGGGGGGGGGGGGGGGGGGGGGGGGGGGGTTAGGCTAAAGGACAAGCTAGGTCCGGCTAAGCCTCGGCCAGAATGTTGCCGTAGAAGAGAACGGCTCGGATGGTATCGTGTTCTGTGGTAGTGTCACTTTTGTGCCTGTCACGAGGTTGGTTGCGCATTGAAGAAGGGCTTGTTCGTAGCGTCCTAGGCATACGCTGCTCCATGCTGGAGCCCCACGCACAAGCCTTCAGATTTCTTCTCGTGACAAGTAGATTGAAGCCGAACCATGAACGTTAACAGTACTTATTCCAACGCCAAGCAGTGAAAATCTTCATGCCTGGAAGAGCGTACTACAATGAATGTCGAAACAACTTCAATGCCACATATACGCTCCTACTTGCATGAAGACTCTTTAACCGAAAGTGGATCAAGTTAACGCAGTCCCAGATTTTTCTTTTTTAAACAAAACTCGTCACACCAGATCATCGGAGGACTGATGTATCCTCGCCGATTATGTGCCGTATTGGGTTTGTGGCAACAGCTTACTTTCCATGAGGCACGGGGACATGCCGGTGGCGGAGCACAGGCTAAGCGCGGCGTCGCTTGCGCAGCACCCCTCGCCCCTCGTGCCGCATCCAGTACCGCCGCAGGTGCCGCAGCCTGTAGTGTGCGTGAGGAAGAGAGGAGGTTCGTTATAATGACATTGTGGGATCATCCTCGCATGTCTTTGGATCAACGTTGTCTGCGGGGCTGGAAGAAAGGGGGAAGGGGACTTGCGTGCGGCCTGGTCGGGTCGTGCCTAGTGGCCATGGCCCATATGTCCGAAACTCTTGTAGATATCTCCGCACTTCCCCCGAGTCACGAGGGCATAACTTGACAGCAAACTCTCCTTGCAGTGTCAGCGGGGACGGAGGGAAAACAATGCCAACGCCTGATTGCAAGCTTGTACACGCTTCACGCACCTGCGTTGCAGCAGTAGTAGCCGCTGGCGACTCCTCCGCACGACGTCGCGGTGGAAGCTGCCGATGTGGTGCCGCCGGTTGTGTCGGTGGTGGTGTCCGTGGTGGTAGCGGGGATCGCGGCTGCGTGACGATGAGGAAGTCGTAAGAGGGACGAGAGCGTTCGATTGTTCGAACAGGATCGTGGGTGCTTGGTAGCTCATTCTAAGCAATACCCGTGCGGATAAAGCACCATCGTTGGGGCTCAGTTGGCGAAGAGATCGGCCTTGACGGGAGGTAGGCCCGTCGGTTTTGAAGGGCAAACGGAGCAACCTTTGTGCTCAACAGCTCGTGGTTGTTTCTAAGCGTCCGTGCAGCTCTATTGAATGCGGCTCTCGCGGTTTGTTCTGTCGTGGAACAACACTTCCTGCACGTCCAACAACTTACAATCCATGAGGCACGGAGACTTTCCGGTGACGGAGCACAGGCTAAGCGCGGCGTCGCTCGTGCAGCACCCTTCGCCTCTACCGCCGCATCCAGTACCGCCGCAGGTGCCGCAGCCTGGGTATACATGAGGATGGAAGGTTGTTCGTCGTCACTACACTGTGGAGTCCAACCTGTTGTCTTCTGGGCCTTTCGTCTTTCGATCGGAAGAAAAGAACGAGAGGTAAGGGGCCAGCGTGTAGTCAGGTCCGGTTGCCCAAAATTGCCATGCCCTCGTGCACGCGTGAATTGTCGCTCTACGTTCCCAGATTTGCGAGATAGTCAGTTGGCAGGGCACACATTTTGCAATGTCAGCGAGGACCGAGGAAAGTGAACGCCATCCCGTGGTCACAACAACCCGGCCATGTCGTATCACGTCCACGCACCTGCGTTGCAGCAGTAGGCGCCCTTGGAAACTCCGTCACACGATGTCGCCGTCGCATCTGCCACTGAGGTGCCGCTGGTCGTGTCCGTGGTAGTTGTGGTGTCTGTGGTGGTAGTGGCGGTGGACGCGGCTGCGTAACGTTGGGAGGGTGGTATACTATGGGAGAAGCGAGTTGGAACAATGCGTCCGTGGTCGATAGGTACGGGTAGGGGAGGACACGAGTCGGTGCAAACTTCGCAGGGGAGGTCGGTGTTGTCAACCTGTGCAGTCGTAAGGAAGCGTCATCGCTGTTGAAATAGAATCTCGTTAGTGTCGAGATGAAAATTCGCAGCAGTATTCGTGCTCGGTAGCGTTTGTTACTGTGTTGATGCCGATCGTTGCAGCTCTAGGGACTAAAGAAGATTTCACGGGTTGGTTGTGTTTTGGACCGATACCCCCTCCCATCATGTACAGCATGCAATGTCAATCAACTTACAATCCATCAGGCACGGAGACATTCCGGTGACAGCGCACAGGCTAAGCGCGGCGTCGCTTGTGCAGCACCCTTCGCCTCTCATGCCGCATCCAGTACCGCCGCAGGTGCCGCAACCTAGGTGTATATGAGGAGGGGAGATGGTTCGTCGTCTGGCCTCGAGAATTGCCAGCCAGTCTGACTACTGTTGTAAATGCTAGGGGAGACAGCGATAGTGAGAGAGAAACACTGTATGGCCAAGGTGTTTCGCTTCGAGCAATTGGGACCCGTTTCACCGGCACGGGACTTCCACCGGTATCCCTACACGGAGACCCGTTTCACCTACACGGGGACTTCCACCGGTATCCATCCGAGTCACGGCAGGATCACTCGAGAGGAAATACCCCGTGACGTCAGACGGGACGAAGAGGATTGAACCATGTGCACACGTGACAACAACAACCCAACAATCGTCTTGCGCCGAGATACCTGCGTTGCAGCAGTAGGCACCCTTGGCTACGCCACCGCACGACGTTGCCGTGGAGACTGCTTTTGAGGTGCCGCTAGTCGCGTCGGTGGTGGTAGTGGTGGACGCAGCTGCGCGACGTCGAGGAGGAAGCACGATCGGACCACGCTTGTTTTGTTACAACCTGAGGTGCTGCGGTCGCTGGGTAGTCTATTGCAGATTGGTCCGGTCCGTCCAACAACGGACATTTGACCATCGTGATAGCTTGGACGAAAGCTAACAACAACGAAATCCCATTGGCTCCACGAAGAGACTTCTGCGCGCGGAAATTGTCATGCATAAAGAAAAAGAGCGCAACACGTAGGCTGCAAGGAAGCAGCGTTTTGTTCCATCTTGCCGTTAGAATCAGCAGCGTATGTAGCTGCTCATCGTCGACTTTGGAACACCTTCGCGAAAATGTGTGCCAAGCAATACCTGCACGATGAAAACGACGAATAACTTACAATCCATCAGGCACGGAGACATTCCGGTGACGGAGCACAGGCTAAGCGCGGCGTCGCTCGTGCAGCACCCGTCGCCTCTCATGCCGCACCCAGTACCGCCGCAGGTGCCGCAACCTAAGTTCACATTAGGCGAGGAGATGGGGGGTTTTCATGATGATTGTATGGCAGAGACAAAAAAGGGGGCTGGAGGGTGACCAGGTCTGGTCACACTTGAGGGTCAGCAACTGCACTAACAGTCCCGTCATGTCCCCGAGTCGCGGAGCATCGCGGTTGCAAAATAACCCCATGGGGGTATTAGGCGTGAGTATCCAAGTGACGAGAACAATGCCTCCACGCCACCACAACCTACTATTTCTACCATAGGTCCACGCACCGGCATTGCAGCAGTAGGCACCCTTGGCAACTCCGCCACACGATGTGGCCGTGGAGGCGACCGACGACGTGCCACTGGTTGAGACGGTTGTGGTAGTAGTGGTTGTGCCGGTTGTATTGTCGGTCGTGTCGCCTGAAAGCGTTTGATGAGTCGCAGGGAGAAGGAACGAGGTTGCAAGCAACATCGCGTCGGGACAACAAAATTTACCACGTGATATGCAGCGCACTATTCTCCCCATACAACGTTTCTCCGTTTTGTAAACGTTTCTAAGGCTATAATCCTTCGTACGCCGTGTGTTTCGTGACAGTCGGATTGTTTAGGTAGGGCACGCTGTTCATGTAACCAACGAACGTTCCGTGCCGCCAACGACTTTATTGACGTGGAAGCCGGTGTTCCAAGCGTCATCTTCGAAACAGGTGCTTTTTCAGTCTGTTGTGGTAGTGTTAACAGGATGGACTTGAGCAGCGAGGTGTCATCGAACACAGCTCAGCAGCATGCAGGCAGGTATATCATGCTGCTCAGCCCCGACTAGACACTACTCACTACCATCGCTGTTGCCGCTCATGACGCACGGGGCAGACTGGTCGTCGCAAGATTTGTTGGCCGCCGCGATCTTGCTGGTGCAGCACTCGTCTCCGCTTAGACCGCCGCGCCCAGCGCAACCGGTGCCGCCACAGTAGCCGCAACCTTGAGTACGCACGGAAGGGGCGCGGTGGGAGGGAGATTGTTTCGCCCCACGGCCGTACTCCCCATGTTTTTTCTTCGGCCAGCGGTTTGTGTACTGTACAAGGAATTTTACCCTTCGATTCCGGAGGAAGAAAACACGATGGAAAGGGAGAAGACCGACATATAGAAATTCAGACGAAGGGTTGTTGAACCCATATGTCGGGAACACCACACGAAAAACCGGTGAGGTCAAAGCGGAGCGGAGCAACGCACGCGGCTGAAACGGCTACAATCTAGCATTTCTAGCATTCATCGACAGACCTGCCGAACAGCAGATATCGCCCTTGGCCACGCCGTTGCTGCAGGTGGGGTCGGCCTCCGTCTATCCAAGGGGTGGGGCGTCCGCGGGTTCAAATGTTGGAGTCAGGGAATCCTTAGGTGTCGTATGGATTATTCTAGGTGTAGTTAACGTGAGGAACGGGAGTAGTCTAGTGGCGTGTCACGCCCGTAGGTGACTGCATGAACAGATGGCAGGGTTCCTACATGACGAAACTGACAGATACGACGACCTACAGCCACATTAAAAATAGCATACCTCCTCGTCGATGACGCACGGAGCCTCCTTTGTAACCGAGCACAAATGGTTGTCCTCTTTGATGGTGGATGTGCAGCAGTCGTACTTGGTGAGGCCTGGCCGTGACCCACAGCCTTCGTTGCACAGGAGAAAGAATGGTGAAGAAAGCAGAAAGGGGTCTTCATCGAATGGAACAAAAAAATAATTCTATCGAAGCTACAAACTACTTTGAAGAGAGACAGCGAAGGTAGAGAAGAGACATGAGATACTTATTTAAGTATGTGTTTCTTCGATAGCCGACACAGAGAAATGAACAAGAGAGAAAGAGGGCAGTCTTCGCCAAACGTACCAGTTCCGCCGCAGGTCCCACATTCAACGGGACAGCATACACCGCCTTTCTCAAGCCCGGAGAGGCCGTTGCTGCACGTGGTGCCACTGGCTGTTTGCACAAGTACGATCGACAGACAGGGACGACAGGTAGATGGGGGGAATCATCACCAGATTAACAACACTATTATATCATTTAGCGGGACTGTACAATAGTCAAAGGTGCCTTAGCTACACAAACACCAGCTCTCGTTTTCTTCGCTTTGTTGTACTTTCTCCCGAGTGTGTTTTATTGGCACTGACCTTGTGACTGTTGTCGTGCTCTCCCAAACCCGTTCTGACCTCTGTCCAGTGTAATGTCGAACTTAACAGCTATAGCTAAATGATGGTTCTTCAATGCACGCGTACCTACGTTGACGTTGTTAACCCCCCCCTCGGTCCCGTTCTCCGAGCAGGATTTCTGATGATTTGGGACGTTGGAAAAACGAAACGTCGGAGTACCTTGCCACGATGCGCTTGCTACTGCTGTACTGCAGGCTTATACCACATGAAAATACACGAATAAAAAAGATTTGTGTCCTTATGAGAGGCCAAAGAAAAAAAAATGGCAAATATGAACACAAGTGAAGCAACAAATGGACCAGGCCACTCACCATGGGCGACCCCAACCGATAAGATTATCGGCAGAATCAGCTTGAAGACATGCATCTTGATTGTTCACTTGATCCAAGAGATGTGTAATAAACGAAGAGACTGTTGACCTCGAGGGCCTGAAACAAAGCAAGGCCCAACAGCACACGCGAAAGAGAGTGGTCGCGGGGGGTCAGCGAGTTTTGTTTGTCAGACAAAAGCGAAGGCACGTCTTTCAATTTCGAGATTCGGATGCCAGCATTCAGAAGATAGAGGACGTCTGAATCAACTCATCAATAATTCAGCCAAATATTTATTATCTTGTTCATCGCCAGACCGGTACCTCTTGTCACTCTGTCATCGGGTCCCGGCGGTATCGGTTGCAGACAGAAATTGTCCAAGGAGGGTGGGATGGTGGGGCAATGCATTGGGTAGGTATTCATTATACTGTAGGTGCGAGGAACATCGAGATACATTTTCAGAATAAACCCGAAAGGATTGATGCGGCTGACAAGCACATGCTGCCCACATACATACGTGCACGACTGAAAAAAATTCCTCCGGAATGCGGAAGGAGACAGCGAGCGCCCGAACCGATGGTTGCCTAGACATGTATAATCGCACCGTTCGAAAAACACGCGCGCGAGAATATGATAGCAACAGTGCGTACAGAGTCTCTAACTGCTCGTGGAAGAAAATGGAGGGCCTGTCGCAAAGGTGCAAGGTACACAAAAGGATCAGAAATGACGGCTGTTCGCGGAAATGCAAATCAGACTCCCGGCAGGCTGGGCACTATTATATATAGTGAGCATTGGCACCATCCGCACAGAACACGTGGCGAGTGGTGCTCATGAAGCACTTCAGATACAGCATCCAACAGTAGCGTTTTGGAGCTGTTTGCACTCGTCAGCTGTAGGTAGTTCACATGTGCTCTGCCAGATGTCCCGCCCGCAGTGGCTTTCAAGAATCGCGAGTGTACAACCGGCAGCCATGTGACTCCAACGGAACGTCAACACCCTTACCCCCCAACAGAAAAATACTCGCGTACTTGCCTTAGTAGAAAAGGATGACGTGAAAAGAGCCCGTGGGTTATTGTCTACAGAGAGAAGTCACTGCCGCGGCAGGGGAAGAAGTGTGTGTGACGAAGGGGCGATTACGAGCAAGTGCCAGGTGTTCGGGCACATCAAGACATCAACGCGATTGTGGCCAATCAGGTGCGTTCGCTGCAATGCGCGTCAGGGGTTCATTTCATCATCTCCTCGCTGGAACTCGTCGCCACAAATGTGACCATTCGTCGCCAATGCACAATTGATTTTTCTTGTCGAGGATTTAATACGATCTGTTTACATGATAGATAGGTGGGAACGCGTCGTGCCTATTATTACCTCTCTTTACATGGTTCGGTAGTCCACAGCAGTCTACACGGGCAGCAGCAGTAGTTGTTGAATTCCAACTGTAGCCCCGGGATCGTGTTACGTTGCCTGAAAGCCGGCACGCAGAGATGTGCCGTCTGGAAATGTATCCGGTCATAATTGACTTCGTTTTCCATCTAGACTATGTTTTCGTCCGTCAAGGGTCGCGAAAACACACAACTAGTCTATAGCTGTCCGCTTGTTCATGTTCACCCGCCCGTATTTTTAGTCGACTCGTCGGAATGTTACATTTATCTGACAGTTTCATAACGTACAGCCTCGGTAGTGGATCATAAAGTTCCGCCAGGACTGGACATATCCAGGGATGGATGCATCCAACAACCATTTGGCGTTGTTGATGTCGGGTTTTTCCTCACAAGAAGGGAGAAACCCTTTGGACCGCAGGGTCGACCCTCCTTTTTACTGTAGCTAAGACTTGAAGCCCGGTAGCACCGACATTTCTGGTGTTCGACCAGCTAGACTACACTTTATTTAGTGCTGGTCGTATTTCAGCGGTCGAAGTGTTGACCACCGTCGCAAAAAGTACTTCTAGACAAATTCCATGCATTTCCTTGCGTGGAAGATGCGGTGAGGGAGTGCGAAATCGTAGCAGAGGGAGTTTGACAAGTAAATAGCGCTGCACGAGCAGATGTCCCAGCCGGCAGCGTTGCCACCTACTGCTGCTGTTGGGAAAAGTGTGTTGTCATTGTGGTGCTCACAGTAAGAATCATTCCGAGCTCTATGTTCGCACATGGAGCACATTCTCTTCCTACTTTCAAAGACATACATGCAACGAGTTTCTGCGATCGACTACTACCCCAATATGTCACAAACATGCACACACATAACATGCACATGGCAAACAGAACACCACTCAGGAAGCTCTATTCTAGACATGATATGAACGACACAGAGGAATGAAACCTGCTGTGCATGGACAAATTGCACGGGTGGGAAGCTGATCGACCCCAACGCTAAAAGTTCTGGCTGCCGCAATCCATCACGCTGGCACCAACACATACAATCATAGCCAGCCACGACTGCGAAGGCAGCATGGATCGGATACATTCAAGGTACATCTCTTCTCTTCCGGTGATGACGCAGTAATCCTGCGATACACTTCATTTGTCGAAAGGCTTTGAACATCATCATCAGATCAATACGAAGAGCAAACTATAATTTTCACAAGGGTAGCGGCAGGTCGCCCTCGACTAATAGGCCAGTCGCCTGATGTTTGCGTCAATTTGCCCAGCCGCGCTTCTCAATATCTCCCATTGGAAGGGATTGAGCGACATCCCTTTCTTTCCGGGACGGTGCTCCTTCGCATCCTTCAGGTGAAACTCGCGGATGTTCACAGTATGAAACGAAGAGCATAACATGGTACGATGTGTACGTCAAAGTTTCTTGGGTTTGTCAAAGGAAGCACCACAGCAGACGCACATACTTACAATACTTGATGCTTCCCATAGATACAGAAAGTAACTAGATGAACATCTCCTTCTTACAAATAACTACTTAGAATAAAAAGATAGTCTAATGTGCTTTATCCTAAGAACACATAACAAATATACCACAAAATCAGAATCAAAGAGAGCCTACCGTTCGAGACAACATACCGTTCGAAGGGATGCATTGAAGCCAATCCGTCAGGGGAGACGACAAGCAACACATGTTGACTGTCGTTTTGAACATGTAGCAAGAAGGCATCATAACGAAATGCACCGAAGTATCGGAAGAGCAGACACACTGGCCTGGGATGCCTAATTCGGAGTGAAAATTGACGATAACTCGTGAAAATGGGTCACACACAACCAGGCCTTGACCCCCACCACCCAACGGCGGATTACACGCTGCTGGCCTGCACACGTGGAGTGCCACTACACCTGCCAACTTCTAAAGCGCAATCAACACGCCAGACCGCTTCATCAAACGTATGGGATGCCCCCTACCAGAATGCGCTTGTTCCAGGTCCTGACTTCGACTTGCTTCCTCGCACTCTTCTTTTCTCCAAGCTGTCCCAAAGAAACGGAAAGAGGCATTCGTCGTGTTGTACTTTTGAAATCCGTGCTCGACACGTGACCGAAGCGCGACCACTATACGATACCTCCATCTTGGAATGGCCGGTTTTCATCGTGGGGATTGTGCTGTTTCTGCGACGCACACGACCTTGATCACCGCTACGATGGCAACAACAACAACAGCAACAACAACGCAGCAGCAGCAGCAGCAGCAGCAGCAGCAGCTGCGGCAGCAACTATGTCACCAACTCATATGGCACGGAAAGCCACTCGCTTTGATTGAGAAGACACAAGGCTAAAACACGTCATCGAGAAAAGGCAGAGGCCACGCAAGTTGACAGAACGACTTGCAATACTAACGGCAGCGACCACCGCACCCCTAAGATATCGACGTCGCGAAATTGTGCGCACTGCTGTCTGCGTTGTCTGCCCTTGTCGCACAGAGGTGTCCTGCTTTCTCACCACGCACACCAAGTCCCCGTCCCCGCCGTCTTCCCCGCCAGCGTTTCGAATGTTCTTCTTCTGCTTCTTCCCCTCCTTCATTCCGACTTCCTTCCCGCTACCAGCGGCGTCTGTTTCATCGCCACGATCTCTATTGCTGTGCTTGTCGCCCGATGCGTCTTCGCCCTTGAAACCTGTCGCGACCTTCCTTTTCGTCGGCGAGTTTTTCGGGATAGCAGAACCGTCGTCGGTATCTCCGAGGCTGCTGTGGCCGTGCGAGGGAATAGGAGCGGCGCTGCGCGTGGTGTCGGCGACCCCGTCTTCTTCTTCCCCTTCCTCTTCCTTCGCCGCCGTCTTTGCCCGATGCGCTTCGATGTCGCCCTACCCGCCAACCAACACAAGGGGAGGCGGCGGCCCGTCAACACACCAGCTCACCGGGTGAGAGCATGGGGGGGCCACAGTAGCGTGGGTGGGAAGGTGAGGGGGCTAAATTGGGTTCATTTGTCTTCTCTCCATGAGCGACTTCGTGTCCGCGAAGCTGCGGCACTACTAAGACGAGAGACGTGAGATAGTGAGAATAGTAAACCTCACAGGATCGCTCTCGAAATCAACTATAGCAGGTACCAGGTATCGGCGCTGCAGAACATCTTCTTCATGCTATTCATTGATGATGCGCTTGAATTCCAGCGCACCCCCCGCCGCAAACAATGTGATAAACACTTCGCCCTCGGTGTTGAGGCATCACAGCAGCACCGCGACCTACTTGGACTGCTACACATCCCCCCTCCCCCAAACGGCTTGTGTACTACCATAAACTACGGAGTGTTCCCCCCGGGGAGGCGATCGTATTTTTCTGAAACCAAAAGCCCCGGAGGGAAATCGACATGCTGCGGGGGGTTAGTTTTTTTTTTGCAACGCCACCCCGGGGGGAAGCCCTCCCCAGAGGGGGGGGGGGGTACTCATTGTCGTGCATGCCGTAGTCGTTAGACCATTGACCTCGCATCCCTACAAAGCCGGGACGGAGCACGCCGGGTTCTCACCGGACCAGGCTCTCCCCCTCCCCGGGGGGGTTGTGCATAATAATGATGGCCCACACACCACACACTGAGGGAGTGGCGAAACTGAGATGGATAAGGCGTTTATCAAGCAGAAGAAGGAGGAACGGAAGAGCAACGAAGGTGAAGAGAAAAAAGACAGCAAGGAGGACAGCAGCTGGGGGTATTTGTCTCATCCCGCGAGTAATTCCAAGAAGAGGAAGGGGCCGCCTTCCAGAGAGTACCCGCCAGCTCCGTTCACGCTGCTCCGCTATGCAACAAAATTGACTCAGAAAATGAGGGGAATACACCCCCCCCCCCCCCCCCCCCCCCCCCCCCC